TTCTTCTATGCCCGTATTTTTCCCAAAACACGCGTTTTGGTTAAGTTTCAGCGCACCCAAAGCTCCTCTCGGCAGTGAAAATACGGACATGGGAGGAGAAAATACGGTCGTAATTTTCCTGCCCGTAATTCTTCCTCCGCTCCTGTTCAAAGCTTCGTTTCTCCCTCGTCCGGACTCCAAATCAGTCGCCGTTTGAACCTAGACGCTCGTAGTCTCGTCCTCTGTCTTTTCATAACAAAATTCCATGATAATTTGTCCATAATATGGGGTAGAAATCCATTATTCCTCAGGTCATGCTCGTGTTTCTTCTCCCGAATTGGCAAATGATCTCCGATTGACTTGAAACTTGCGCCTACGCTTCACTTTATGTGCTAGGGCCTGAAATGTGACAAAGGAACACAACCTAGCATAAAATAGGCCAAATAAGTGATAATGCAAGCTTAAACGATCAAGAAACAAAGGGGAAAACATGTGCAAATATCGAGTCATCACTTTGCAAATTATGGATCCTCCAAGTACTTATACGCCAAGAGATTGTTTTTGAATTAACATAATATATAGTATAGATAGATAGATAGATAGTTTTTTTTTACAGGAACCTGTAACCAATTTTATTACTCGGTCGGGCCGCTTAGAATATCCGATCGAAGCTGATCAGTAATACAATCAGGTGGTATATCAAACCAAATCACTCGTTCATTCCACTTCGTAACTTTATGAGCCATCGCATGCGCCGCTGCATTTGCCTCTCTATTTATGTGCTTCCAACTTCCAATACCCGTCCCGCTTAGACCCCTTCGAATGCTTCGACATATAACTCCCATCTCATTGAAGCTCGTCAGCTCGCTGTAAATTTTGGGCGAGGGCTAGACAGTCAGTTTCCAAGACCGCATTTGGTAATTGGAATTGCATGGCCAGCTGGACACCTAATTCCGCCGCCATAGCCTCGGCTTCCTGTACTTCCCACACCCCTAGAACACTCTTCGCCGCCGCCAAGATGAACTGCCCAGTCGAGTCCCTGATGACCACTCCGAGACCAGCACCAGCATCATCCCAAACTCCTGCATCTGTACATACTGAAGTACAACCAGGGGGTGGCTTCTCCCACTTCTTCTGGGACGGTACATGGCAAGGCTCTCCTTGCTGCTTTTGGTTCTTTTTGTAGTCCTCGAGCATAAGCTGGGCACGACCTGGTATCTCCTCCTCGGGAAGTTTAGCTCCATTAAACAAATGAGCGTTTCTTTCCTTCCAGAGATACCAAAGCAATACACACCATCCCTCCAACTCTTCCTCCCCCCTTGTTTCCAGCAGCCTTGTAACCCAATCAAGGAAGCTTTCAATTCCTTTAGATTCGAAAATTCCCACAAAGCCAGTCTTCCTCCATATCCTCGAAGTCCAAGCGCACTCCAAGAAAAAATGGTCCTGTGACTCACGTTGGTCGCAGAACGGACAGTTCTCTCCTCTTCTTGGGTTCCGTTTACTGACCAACTCTCCAGTCGGAAGGATCTCCTGAGTAAACCTCCACATAAACTGGCGTATTTTTGGTGGGACACCCATACCCCATAGTTTCTTCCACATTGCCGCTGTTCGCGTCACCTCCACTCTTTCCCGCCTTTTAAATTCTTCCAGCCACAGCCCGTAACCCTCTTTAACTGTGTAGGTACCTGTTCTACTTTTGTGCCACACCAGTTTGTCGACTTCCTCTTGACCTCTTAAAGGGATCTGCATTATTGCTCGGGCCACTTCATGAGGAAAACAGCTCGCAATAACTGTCTCGTCCCAACTGCTAGTGTCCGGGTCAATGAGCTCCTTAACATAAGAATCTGTAGGAAGTCCCATGGGAGCCGACGGAATAAAGTGATGCGCGAGACCAGGGACCCAACGGTCCCCCCAGATTTTTACTTCCTCCCCGTTCCCTATCCTCCATCGCTAACCTTGGTTCAATAATTCTTGAGCACTTAACAAACTTCGCCATACAAAGCTTGGCATGTAGCCCAGCGTAGCATCCAAAATCGAGCACCTCTGATGATATTTTTCTTTTAATATTCGGGCAATGAGAGAGTTCAGTCTTTGAAGAAGATTCCATAGTTGTTTTGCGAGTAATGCTGCATTAAAGCCACGCAAGTCTCAAAAAATCATGCCTCCCTCTTCCTTTGGACTAACCATCTTCTCCCTTCGCAAACCATGAGCCCTCCGTTCCTGTTCTTTCTGGCCCCACCAGAAGTTCATAATCATATTGTGCATCTCATCTATCGTACCTTCCGGCACTTTAAACACTGACATGGCATAAGTGAGTTGTGCCTGGGCCACCGACTTAATCAGAACTTCCCGGGCCGCAATTGAGAGAGTCTTTTCTTTCCATCCATTCAGTTTTTTCCTTGTGCGATCCTTAATGGCCTCAAATAGTTCCTTCTTCGACCGACCTGCTTTAGTAGCAAGGCCAAGATACTTGTTATGCTTCGGCACTATCTTCATTCCAAGCACCCCTCCAATCTCCAACTTCCTGTGTGGCAAAACGTTCGAGCTGAAAGAAACCTCGGACTTTTCGAAGCTGACCAGCTGACCTGACTCTTTCTCATAGTCCTGGAGTATCTTTTTTAATTCCACACTTTCTTCGACAGTAGACCTGGCGAAAAAATTACAATCATCAGCAAATAACAGATGGGATACCACAGCGGCTCCTCGGGCCGCTTGAATCCCATGAATACGTTTCTCAAGTACTGCTTTCGCATTATACGCTGAGAGACCCTCTACACAGATAAGAAAAAGATATGGTGATAAAGGGTCTCCCTGCCGTAAACCACGACTAGGCTAGAAACGGGGCGATTGATGGCCATTCACCAGAACCGAGAAGGTGACCGTACGAACACATAGCATGATCACCCGGATCCACTTCTCGTCAAAACCCATTTTTCGCATGACACCTTCCAGGAAATTCCACTCCACCCTGTCATAAGCTTTGGCCATATCCGTCTTAGCTGCGAGAAAACCCGTTCCCTTTTTTCCTTTATTCTTCATCGAGTGAAAACACTCGAAAGCCGCCATGATGTTATCTGAGATAAATCTGCCCGGGACAAAAGCACTTTGTTCCGAAGATATCACCTTGTCTAGCACCCTCTTTAATCTGTTTGCTAGGACTTTGGCCACAAACTTATATAGGACATTACACAGGCTGATGGGCCAGTATTCATTCGGACTAGTTGGTTTCTTGACTTTTTGGAATTAGAGCTAGGAGAGTATGATTCAGCTCCAATGGCATTTCTGCATTCTCGATAATATTCTTCACCTCCTTACATACTTCATCCCCCAACGTGTCCCAATAAGCTCGGAAAAAAGCAGTCGATATCCCATCCGAACCTGGTGCCTTTCTTCTTCCCATTTGTTTCAAAGCCATCACCACCTCCTCCCTGTCCACTGCTCGCACTATGCTTTCGTTGTCCTCTGCAGTCACTGAGCATCTAATGGAGTCTAGGACTGGCAACCCATGGGGTTGCTCTCCTGCCAAGAATAACGTACCAAAATAATGAGTGAAGCAATCGAACAGTTGATCGGTCCCAACATACCACTGCCCGGTAGCATCTTTATGTTTTCGTATGGTATTCCTCCTCCGGCAGGCAGTAGCTTTGTTATGGAAATAGTTTGTATTTTTATCTCCGTCCTTTAGCCAATCCGCTCGCGACCTTTGTTTCCAATAATTCTCCTCGTCAGCTTCAAGGGTAGCCAATTCCTCTTCTAACTTCCATCTTTGCTCTTGGGTGTACGGGGTTACTTGAAGCTTTTCAATTTTTCTCAAGGCTTTCAATATCTTTTTCTTTTGTCTTCCAAAATTTGGGAAATTACGGGTGCTCCACTCTTCCAGCACAACTCGACAATTCTGAATCTTGGCCATTACTCCCCCAGCCGACGGATCAGACCATGCCTCAGCGACAACCTTTGCACTTTTTTCGTGTTTGATCCAAAACGGATCAAACCGGAAACTCCAACCCCATCTAGGTTCCTCATCCTCTTCTCCTTCCGTATCGCAAATCACCGGTCTGTGATCCAATTTAGTTATATCCATATGTTTTACCCGTAAGTTTGGAAACTCACTCATCAGCTTGTCCGAGGCTACAAAGCGATCGAGGCGCTCCTCGATGTACCCCCGACCCATCTTCTATTCTCCCAGGTAAAATCATAACCTTCATATCCCACATCTCTAAGGTTCGAGTCGAGCAGAAAATCGTGGAACGCCCTTATCGCGTTCTCATCACGGAGTTGACCACCCCTCTTCTCTTCTCCCGCAAGAATCTCATTAAAATCCCCACCACACAACCAAGGTCCATCCCACTGATCCGCCAGAGCATGTAGCATGTTCCAAGTGTTTACCTTATCACTTTTCTCCGGCCAACCATAAATCCCTGTGAATCTCCAGGTCAGCCCTCCCACGTCCTTAATCTTTGTATCCATGCAGCGAGTCTCCGCATGCATTACTGTTAACTCAACTTCCTCCGTCCACCAAATACACAGGCCACCAGCTCGACCACCCCCACTTGAATCCGTTGGCCAACACTCTCCTTTCGCAAAACCCAGCTCTTTCCTTGTCTCTTCATTCTCTTTTTCAGTTTGTTTAGTTTCCATTAAGAAAACCACTTGAGGGGAAGCTTGTCGCAGGAGCGACTTCATAGCTTTAACTGCCCGCTTGCTTCTCATCTATTACCATAAGGGGATGGGCTCCCCGCGCATTTCATTGATGATATTGACTTCTCTCCTCCTTTCCCCTTTGGTTTATTCAGTTTTGCTTCAGTTCCTTTGCTTCCTGCCTTCTTATCCGGCGCTGCCTTATCCATCAGGTTGGTCTCGAAATGGTTTGCGCCAGCTTGATCCGTAGCCTTTGTATGATTAATATTTCCTTTCTCCACCCTTGACTCCTTTGCCTTATTCATTTTACTAGCATCCCTCATCATTTTCCCTGTCTCTTGGATATGTCCACTTAGTTTTCCATCCTTTTCAGTTCCTTTTGTTCAGCCCTTCCTCATGGCTGTCTCAGTATCGTCGTGTTGTGTTTCATTTATTGTGTCTTCCTTAAACACTGCAAATCGGTTGGACTCACTTCCCTGCTTTGGCACGAACTGAGCTTTGTCACCCCGCCCTTCCTTGTACAGTGGTTGTTTCGATTGGTACCTTCCCTTTCTTTTAACCATCATCCAATCACCATAAGTCGGGCCACGTGGACGTTCCTCCTCCTGCGTTTCCGGAACCACCTCCACAGTTTCGGCCACCACTACGGGGTCCTTGCACGAGCATTTCAGCGTCGATTTGCCATATTGTCCACAGTCGGTACAAATGTTCTCGAGGCCCTCATATTGTATGAGATACTCGATCCCTTCTACCTTGTAGCGCCCTAGAAGGGGTCTTGTTAGATCGACTTCCACACACACATGCGCATACTTTCCCCTCGCTCCCAATTTCGTAGCACGATCCACCTGTATTGCTTTTCCAAGGAGCGATCCAATCTTCATTGCCGCCTCCTTATTTATAAACTCTATCGGCAGGTCTGGGAGTTGTACCAACACCAGGGTGGACGAGACTTGTGATTTCCACGGGTTAAACCCCTTATACCATCTCATCACTATCAGATAGGTATCCCCCAATAGCTTCCCTCATCGTCTCCTCCGTTGTCATATCATCCATCTCTCCATCCTCAGCATCCAGATTAAGGCCACAGACTTTCTTCTTTGGTTGGACAGTTTCCTTGTCCCGCTTGTTGTTCGGGGACGAGGAGACCTTCGCAGGGCGCCGGGTGCCTCCCTGTGGGTCTGGAGGCTTCATAGCCACGTCCGGCGTTGCTGCCGCCGCCATCAGAAGCCCTAGCACTCACGCATGAAAACTTGGAATTTTTCTCACTCCGAGATTTTCGGAGAAAAGCGATTTTAATTGCTACTCCCCAAAGTGGTGTAACCTTGGGTTGATTTAGATATAAATATAGATAGATTTGTTTGCAATTGCATATATGAGAGTTTATAATAAATAAAAGTAAATAAATTAATATAAAAATTTAATTATTATTATTTATTTTCCTATGTAGCTTGTATCTTTAATTTTATTTTGTACAAACTTGTATTTTTTAAGTGCCCACTACACTAATACAATTCTCTTTCCAGTAGGATTTTGAATTAAGCAAATAGTGTTGATTTGATGCTCTAAACAACATTATCAGGGTAGCGGGCTCGTAGATATTTCAAGCAACGACGTTCTCCTGCAGTGCCAACCCAGCTAATAATATTAATACCAGGCCCCCTCCAATCTGACTTATTCGACTTCTCAATCATTTTCCGATGTTTGCAATTGCATATATGAGAGTTTACAATCAATAAAAGTAAATAAATTAAGACAAAATTTATTATTATTATTATTATTTATTTTCCTATGTAGCTTGTATCTTTAATTTTATTTTGTACAAACTTGTATTTTTTAAGTGTCCACTACATTAATACAATTCTCTTTCTAGTAGGATTTTGAATTAAGCAAATAGCATTGATTTGATGCTCTAAACAACATTAACCCACCAACATTTTTTTTTAGATAAGGGTGATATAGGTTACTTTTTTTGTTATTAGGTACTACTGAAGGGACTCGAACCTTGGACCTCCAGGTTCATGGCTAGTGGTATTACCACTAGACCAATCCCTTGTTCGTCATTAACCCACCAACATTATCAGTGTCCTGGTTGTAGATATTCCAAGCAACGACGTTCTCTTTCAGTGCCAACCCAGCTAATAATTAGTACCAGGCCCCTTCCAATCCGACTTTTTCGACTTCTCAATCATTTTCCGATGTTTGCAATTGCATATATGAGAGTTTATAATAAATAAAAGTAAATAAATTAATACAAAAAATTAATTATTATTATTTATTTTCTTATGTAGCGTGTATCTTTAATTTTATTTTGTACAAACTTGTATTTTTTAAGTGCCCACTACATTAATACAATTCCCTTTCCAATAGGATTTTGAATTAAGCAAATAGCGTTGATTTGATGCTCTAAACAACATTAACCCACCAACATTATCAACAACTTCTTTGCTGGGTGTCCTCTAAATTTTAAAATAAGAAGACCCGGGTGATGTTGATTTTGACTCATGATGACTTTGTGATAGCCGAGTCTCCAGGTGGACAGAAATCACTGTCTCCACCAGCTGAATAGTGATAATTATTTGTATGTTAGTCGTTTATGTTTCGACACAGACTTATGATATGTGGAAAGAAAAAAAAAAACCTATCATGCCTTACAACACGCAACAACATTCTATCGTTCAAGTAACATTATCAATTACTCACCTACATGACTGACTTAGACTCACTCCAACTAATAAAGTCAAATTTGACTCTCCTAATAGTCAAATATGGTTTTTAGCTCCCAAAATCCCAGTTTCACTCCAACCATACAAAAAGCTAATTTTGCTTCACACCTTCCTTTTTTTCTTTAAATTTATTTCAATAAAACATTCTTATTTGGCCTCTAATTTTATATTCCACTTTAATTTTTTTATAGTTAGTTATTAATTTTGAAAACAAAATTTTCGTTGTAATTTTTTTTAATTCCGAGACAAAAAACAGTTTCAAAAAATTACTCGTTAATTTGTTACTGTTAACTTTGAGACCAATGAGAAATTACCAATTAAATATACAACATTCCATATCTTCTTTCAAACAATTAAGCCAACAACACACACAATCAACCAATGATAAAATACCACCCAAAAAAGTAAAAAGAAAAAAAGGGTAAAATGAACCAATGAGAAAATCCCACAGAAAAAGGAAAAACTAAAAATAAAGGAGGACCCACCGCGGGTCCACCATTTCCTCCAGCCAAATTTGGCTTTGCCACCCAATTGAAAGCTAAATTTGGCTCCCAATTATGCAATACCCATTTTTAGCTCCCCAAAATTATGTGGGTTGGAGCACAAAAAAGGAGCTAAAAATGGGTAAATGGCTTTTTGGGTTGGAGTTAGTCTTAGCGGATCTTTAAATATATTTCAATTTTCAACTCCTCCCCATCAAAATGGGTCCACTGACCATGTCCTTAATATATTATATGCACATACGGTAAAACCGCACCGAAAGTTATACATGACATCTTAAGATAGATATTTTGTACTAAATCATGGCTTAACTGTGAATAAAGCATTACATATCGCTAAATGGGTCTGAAGTTGGATCTGGTCAAGGTGGACAAGGGGTATGGGCCAGGGATCGGGATGAAGAATTTGCCGGTGATAGTTATGAGGTGTATTAATGCGCTGGGGTTTTTGTTCATGTTTTTTGCGCCAGAGTCAAACGGGAAGTCGCTGGAGGACTTGTCCGGGGAGAATGACGTGGAGGAGCGGCGGTAGGGACTGCCAGTGACGTCAATCCCATCAAGGAGGGAGGGCTCTGCTAGAGATATGAGGGATGACAGTCCGGACTAGATCCGTTCGTCGATGCATACGTCTACAAACTTTATTGGTCATAATTTGAATTTTAGTAGTTATTAATATATTTTCTTTGCCATATATATAGTTTGATGAATTTAGTATTTACGTTCCATTTATTTGTCTTCCACCAATCATCCTCTAGCTGCAATTCATTCACAACTTCGATTTTGGTATAAAGAAAAGATAATATAATCGCCGGATTTCCTACAATGTAAGCTTCAAGAATGTAGTATACCCATATGTGATAAAAACAATCTTTGAAAAACCCTATGATTGTGACAAAAATGGTAACCGAAAGAATAATATCTGTGACAATGAAAATGGGTGGCAGTTGAAGTACAATTTTAGCTATGACACACATTCATCACAAATATATAATACTAGCTTTTTACCCGGCCTGTTGGCCGGAGATATTTATTTTATAATTTATATTAATTAACTTATTTATATGTTTAAAGCATTTTGGATCTTCTAAATATTTTGTGTTCTTGATTCATAACAGAGTTTGTAGTATGTATATATTGAAATTTTCCAATATTTAGTACACTCATTTGTGATGCTTCGGTTTTCTAATCATAAATTATGCCGCTGTCATGTCCCATTTAGAACTTATGTCAAAATTTGTCAACCAAAACACTAATATTTAGCGTATGTCAACCTGACCACACACACATATTTATATATGGCAAAGGCTAGCGTACGTCGGGCGTACGCTATACGCCTGTGTTCACACTTGGTTTTTGCACTTCAATATATTTCGCTGAATCAGAACCGTCAGTTTTTATTTTTTTTAGATTAAATGAATCTTGTGTCTTGGGTTAGAGAATTAGGGACTGGGGTTCACCCATTAGAGGTTAGGGTATAGTATCATGCCTCATTCTCCGTTTAATTCATGCTCTAAATAGTAAAACTCGACGGGCGTACAATGTACGCCTACCGTACGCTATATATATATAGGGAGTTCTACGGTATACCTTTAGTAAGGAAACGCTATCCAGAACTTGAATTGACATGATACTATACTCTAACCCTTAAAGATCAAAATCAAGATCTTAATTCTCTAAATCTTATACCCCAAGATCAATTAATTAGAAACAATAATCGACGGTTATGATTCGTCCAAATATAGATTAAAAAATCAATGCACCATCTTAGGGTTTATAGTTTATGATTTAGATAATTAGGACCTAGGGTCCACTCATTAAAGGTAAGGGTATAGTATCATGCCCAAATCCTGCTAATTCGAGGTCTAGATAGCATTTTCATACTTAAGGTATGCGGTACCCCGGATTTCACCCGGGGTACCATAGAAGGCACCATATATAGAAAGCACCACATATATATATACACGTATGGTAATATATATATATATATATATATATATATATATATATATATGGCAAAGGCTAGCGTACGCCCGGGCGTACCTTAGTCTACCGTACGCCCGTTGAGTTTTGCTATTTAGACAATGAATTAACCGGAGTTTTTGGCATGGTACTATACCCTAACCTCTAATGGATAAAACCCAGTCCCTAATTCACTAATCCAAATCATAATATTCATTTAATCTTGAAATGAAAATCAACGGTCTTGATTTGTCAAAATTATTGTTGATTTACTTTTTAAGACACTACAAGAAAACTCACTTTCAGCGACGAAATAAGTCGTCGCTAAAAGGCCAAAAAGTCGTCGCAAAAGGGATCACCGACGAAAAATGGCGTCGCAAAAGATGGTTAAGAGTCGTCGCGTATACAGCGTCGCAGAAAGATCTGCGACGGAAATATCTTGCTTCGTCGCGAAAGAACATAGTCGTCGCTGAAAATTTGATACTTCAGCAACGAAAACGTCGTCGCCGAAGATACATCTTGCGACGACTCTATGCCGTTGCAGAAAGGGAACTTTTTTTGCGACGAAATGGTCGTCGCAGAAATTTACATTTCCCGACGGAGTACACCGTCGCAGTAGGTTTCGGATAATCTGCGACGATGGATTTCATCGCCATTACCATTCGTTCCAGCGACGAATATACTTTGTTGTCGCGAAATAGTCGTATCTGCGATGGGCGGTTTCGTTGCAGATTGCATCTTTCTGCGACGGGTGAGTTCATTGCAGATTGTAAAACCTTTCTGCGACGATGATTGGTCGTTGCTAATGTTAATGCATGTTTTTGCAATGAAATTATCCGTCGCTGAAACTAAAAAAAAATTCTCCAGGTTTTTCCTGAATTATTTCCTGCTTCAGTTTTACTTATAGAGCACAATAAAGGACTCTGCTGTGTAAAATAAGCACCATTCAAGTCATTCTTTCATAGTACACTATATATATATATATACTTGCCCAAATATGGCACTCCAACACAGATTCATACATCACCTACTACTAGCTAGTTTGCATCTCATTCACCAATAAAACATAAACATTGACAGTATGATGAGTAGCTCTAAATACATATTACTGTGCATATCATAACATCAATGAAGCACTACTGGTTCATGCTCACAAATCAATATCATTGTCCATGGCCAAAATGTCAATGCTAGTTGATAACCTGCATAAACATTTCAATCAACAAAAAGTGTCAAGTTATTATAATAGCTTAGGTATATGAAAACAACATTCAAAAAGTTAAAAATACAATTAAGAGAGATTCCCTTACCAAAATTCTAGGTTAGGTTAGCTAAGCCTTTCTCCTTAAGCTATTGTGCACCCAAAATACTAAACACATGTACGATAATCTGCATTAAAACCCAATCAAGAAAGGCACGGTTACTACATCAATAGCTTGGGGCACATTGATCCCAAAAGATAATCAAAATGCATGTTATGATTTCATAATACTACTCATGCTCAAGCACTGAAACAACAATTTATTCAACCTTTGCCTCCTATTTTTGGCAGCCCATGGGAAACCCAAAATGATTGAACTATGACAGGAACAAAATTTGCAGCTTTAGGGGAATTCAAAATGATTTGAGATAAGATTTAAGAAATTACCAGTTTAGCTAAACGATGCCTTTACCCTTAAGGATGGCAATGACACTCCTAAACTCTTCTAGTTGTTCTCCTGTACTGGCCAACTTTTCCTTAGTAATTGCAAGTTGTTGATCTGAGTCGGCTTGTTTTTCATTCAGTTGAGACACAAGATCCTCGAGATTTGCACACCGATCTTGTAGCTGTTTTTTGTCCTCAAATAGTTGTGCATAATCAACCTCTACACGATCTCTTTTTCTAGATGGGGGTGCTTGACCATAACCAAGACCATGACAGTACCCCGAGCTGTAACCCAAAATTTTATGAAAAGCCTCATCGGGAGATATGGGATTCTCACTATCTCGAGTAGTCTCCACAAGTTCCAGCATTTTTTCCTGCACAAATCATACGAGGCAATGAACACCTTACCCTTAGAAGTGACAAAAATAGATATGGAATAATAGTTGGATTAATCCGAGTCAACCCTCTCGTAATAGAGGTAAAAAATTTATATAATATATATATATATATATATATATATATATATTATAAGATAGGTAAGGGCAGTAGGTAGAGGAATGAAATATGGACAGTAGCTTTGTCCCACCTTATTAGTGCTAACATTAAAGTATTTGGAAAATCCTACACTGGCATGCAAAGGTTCAAAGTTTCTTTTAAAATGGTGGAAGTCCAGCCCAAAACCAACATAGAGAACAGAAACAAAAGAAAAAAGAGATTCATTACAAAACCAGCTAGGTATCAACAGCTGCTCAGAAAAAACCAGCATTGACAGCAGAGAAAACAAAGAAACAAAGCCTCCAACATGAACACAAAACAAGACGACAATGAACAAACTGACCAACTGCAAACTTACGTATTGTTCTTTTTTATTTGGGTTTCTCCATTCTTCAGTGCCCTTGGTATCCTGCCACTTGAAGAATTCCATCTTCGACAACTCACCACTCTCTTGTTGTGCTTTCTATTTAGAAGATATAAGAACCCCAAAATGAATACAAGTTAGCAATTGATCATGGGACAAAACTATATATTGTAATACTAAATGCGTAGGTCACCTTCTCTTGAAACATGCAAACATAGGCTGCACTTCCTTGAGTGTTCAGATTTTGCACATGAGTTCGATTTTCCGCATTCGTAACAGCAATTTCCTATGAAATACTTATGTTAGAAGTGAATAATTCCATCTATGTGGCATTACCATTCGAAATTGCAAGTATAAGAAGCATACCTGCACTTTCTCGGAGTCCCAATGATCACACAAGTTTTTCCATATATCAGCACTTAAATAACTAGGTTTGTTTTGTCTAGCCATTTGCTTATTGACAGTATAGTAGTCAGCCTTTGTTCTGCTCCTTCTTTCCCTAACACTTTTCAGAAAGTGGCCCCAAAGCTTTTCCATCTCCACTGGGTTATCTCTTATATTTCCCATATCCAATTTCAGCTAGAATAAGATAAATGCATATGTTAAATGAGATAGTGAGAATGAAATCAAGTAAGAAGGTATAATTATATCAAATACCTGTAACTTCAATATGACCTCTTCCAAAAGATTAGCCTTGTCTTTCTTTTCAATGGGCCAGTAATACAAATGAGCAATTAGGCCCAGTGAGCTGGCCAAATCATTACTTTGTTTCCTTATCAGTGGTCGACCTAAGAATGCATCGATCTGGACTTCTGGTTTCTTTCCAGCCTTTTCAGTTCGCTTATGCAGACTAACCCCTCGTGTGGGTCCTCTACCTTGCTTCTTTTGAGTAACCTCGTCACCTTGGCATTCCAATTGAAAAGAAAAGAAGTTATAAATGAACCCTTATTTAAAAGTTAAGTGACTTTGTTACTAACAATCAAAGAACTTACTTGCATTAGTTCCTTGATGGATTTGTTCTTCAAAGGCTTCCTCAGAAGGTTCAGAGATATTTGTATTTGATGCTTCAGCATGGCTAGGAGCACTAGACGAAGTAGGCATCGTACTTGTTGGTCCCATCGATGGTTGTTCTTCACTTGCAACAACCACCTCCTCCTGCATGTTAATGCAAGACTGCAGTAGTCTCTGATGGCGAGATGTTGGGTTTCCACTATTATGGAAAGTACCACATGTCCCCTTTAGTCTTGCTACAAGAATCAATACAAAAATATGAATGAAAAATCCATGTAAGAAGAACTTTTAATTCACGAGGGATTACCAAACATTAAGTCAATAATGATCTAACTCACCTTGGACCAAACTTGGAGAAGATGTAGTCTGTTTTGGTGGTTGTGGAGCATTTGATATAGAGCTGGGCTTGACAACATTGCCCACAGTTACCTGCTGTCCATTTTTTGCTTTGGACAAACAAGGTGTCATTGGTTGACCTGAAAACAAGACATGCCACAAATAGTATAACCAAACGATATTAGGACAATTTAAAATAATAATCAACCATTCTAAGTTGTATGGACTGTGGACACACAAACAAGGTGCCATATGTAGTAATGGAAGCAAATGAGAAAGCAAATAACTCCCTAAGAATCCAATTTATGTTTTCATAAAAGGTTGAACGTTTAAACTCACCTTGGATTGAACTTGAAGAAGTCATAGTATGTTTTGGTGGTTGTGGGGCATTTGATACAGAGTTGGGCTTCAAAACATTTCCCATAGTTGCCTGCTGCCCATTCTTTGTTTTGGACAAACAAGGTTTCATTGGTTGACCTAAACACGAGACATATGCCACAAGTAGTATAAACAAGCAAGATTAGGATAATTTAAAATAATAATCAATCATTCTAAGTTGTATGGACTCTAGGACACACAAACAAGATTTCATCAGTAGTAATAGAAGCAAATGAGAAAGAAAATAACTCTCTAAGACTTCAATTTATGTTTTCATTAAGGGTTGCATGTTCTAACTCACCTTGGATTGAACTTGAAGAAGTTGTAGTCTTTTTTGGTGGTACTGGGGCATTTGATACAGAGTTGGACTTGAAAAGATTGCCCATAGTTGCCTGCTGCCCATTCTTTGCTTTGGACAAACAAGGTGCCATTGGTTGTCCTGAACATGGGAAATATGTCATAAGTAGTATAACCAAGAGATATTAAGATAATTTTAAAAATAATCAACCATACTAAGTTGCATGGACTCTGGGACACAAAAATTAAGAGTATAAAACCCTAGCAGGTCATTATCATAAATACTAGTCAACGTAAAATTGAAGACAACAATGTCCAACGTCTACAGCAGCAATTTGTTCATAAATTTTTCTGTTAATATTCAATCTCCATCTTTAGAGCTATGTGACACCGAGTCCATCTCTGCTTCCTCATTTGACTGGTTAGAATATTGCTCTTCTTCAACCCCTTGATGCAAGACTGCGAACTGAACTGCATCATCACTTGAATTGTCAGAATCTTGATCTTCCTCAACCCCTTGATCCAATTCATCTCTCTTGTTTCCTTCCACAACCACCTGATCAATGACCTCAGCTACAACACCCGCTCTATGCAATGATCTTTCAACATCACCATCAGCATTCACAACTGTAGAAGCTTCATCTGTTAGCTCATCATCTTGATATGCAACATCGTCGTTTACTATATCATCATCGTCCAAAATATCAACACTCTCAATGTCTCCACTAAATATGTGACGATGGTTCAATCGTTGGACAACCCGCCAATTTGACCCCAGCTTCGGATCATTGATGTAAAATATTTGTTTAGCTTGAGTAGCTAAAATGTAAGGATCACTCGAATACCATAGGCGATCCACTTTAATACTTGTAATTGCACCATCTTTCATAATCCTTGACTTTCTCCTATCCACATCAAACCATTCACATTTGAAGAGGATAACTTGTTTATCTCTAACATAATCAAGCCGAACAATATCCACAAGAACCCCGTAGAAGTCAATAACTTCATCAAGATGGTTCCCCTCCACAACTATGCCACTATTTTGCGTCTTAAGACGACTCTCTCGCTCCCTCGTGTGAAACCTAACCCCATTGATAATGCAGCCCGTATACTTCACAACACCATTTGAAGGGCGGCAAGATAGTGCATGCAATGCCAACATTTTTTCATCATCTCGGTTGGAACACAATGCATTTGTTATCTACAAATGAACAAAAACAAGTGAATTGATAACCACTTCGCGGAAATATTAACTCACTTCCCATTTAACATTAGCATTAGCTCACCCTCTTTTTAAACCAACTTGAAAATTGAGTTCGATGTATTTCTTGCTTTCTTGTAGGATCAACACCATCAATTGAGTCCAAATGTTCCCTAACCAAGGTCAAAATCAAAGCATGAGAGCACCAAAGACATTTAGAGTATAAATGTGGTTCAAATTGAACACAAACTCACTCTAAGTAGGGTAGAACCTCTTCGCAATTGCTAAGCACATACCAATGCACCATATCCAAATCCTCCACAGACATTGTGACAGGTTTTCCATGACCAAGAGGTCGTAGCTTACTTGAGAAAACTGATAATTTGCCATCTACTTCAATATCAAAGTTTCTCTCAAGTGCATTGAATTGAGTCTCAATTCCATCGAGATACATCGAGCAAAATGTCAAACACTCATCGACAAGATATGCCTCAGCGATAGACCCTTCAGGATGAGCTCTATTTCGAACAAATCCTTTTAAAGTGTTTAGATACCTGACAAAAAATAATGGTTAAGGTTGAGAAACCTTGTTTCTTAGAAAGGCAGTAAGTTGTAATGATTTATTAATGAGATCACAAGAAGTAATCACACCTTTCGATGGGATACATCCATCGATATTGAACTGGACCCCCAATCTTTAGTTCATGTGGTAGGTGGACCGCCAAATGCACCATTACATCAAAAAATGCTGGGGGATAAATCATTTCCAGCTTGCACAAAATGGTGATGATGTCAGCTTCTAACGCACTAACTGCTTCTTCTCTTAGAGTCTTGCAACACAACCGATGGAAGAAATCACCTAGCTCAGCTAACACACTTGAAACACGTTCATCCATGCTTCCCCGAACACCAACTGGCAACAATCTTTGGAGCAAGACATGACAGTCGTGACTTTTTAACCCTGTTAGTTTTCCTTCACTAACATTTGCACATCTAGAGATGTTAGAAGCATAACCATCAGGGAATTTGACTTCCCTTAAGAACTGACAAAAATCTCTTCGTTCTTCCTTTGTCATGGTGTAGCAAGCAATAGGCATTTCATATTTTCCGTCACTTCTTCCTTGAAGATGCAACTCATCCCTTATGTTCATCTCTTGTAAATCTTGTCTAGCCTTAACAGTGTCTTTTGTTTTACCCGGCATATTTAACAAAGTCCCAACCACATTGTCGCAAATGTTCTTCTCAATATGCATGACATCTAAATTATGCCTCAATTTTAACTTTTCCCAGTAAGGAAGAGTAAAAAAAATACTTTGTTTCACCCAATTCAAGTCATCAGACGGGCGCTTCCTTTTGTTAACAATTTTTGGGTGTTTCCCAGGAAGTCTCTCTGTCACATGCCTTAACTGTTCCATCACATCATCACCTAGTAAGAAAGAAGGAGGTCCCCTCAATTCACGCTTTCCATTGAACTTCTTATCTTTTCTCCATCTATGCCGAATTGGTAGAAAGCGACGATGCCCCAAATATCCTATTTTGCTTTTTAATTTTTGTCCAAGTCCATCCTTATTACAAACAGGACATGCGAGATATCCTTTTGTACTCCACCCAGACAAATTACCATATGCAGGAAAGTCATTGATAGTCCATAATACTGCAGCATGAAGTTGAAAGTTACTTTTCGAATGAGTATCAAATGTTTGTATACCATCCGACCATAACTCTTTCAACTCATCAATTAGAGGCTGCATGTAAATGTCTATATCTTTTCCTGGTGCGGTAGGTCCAGGAATAAGCAAAGTTAAGAATAAGTAAGGCTCCTTCATACACATCCAAGGAGGAAGATTATATGGAGTGAGAACAACCGGCCACATGCTATATGAATTGCTCATATTTCCAAAAGGATTAAAGCCATCGCTAGCAAGACCAAGTCTTATATTACGAGCATCCTCCGCAAACGAGGGGAACTGAAGATCAAAATCTTTCCATTCCTTTGAGTCTGCAGGATGTCTTAACCAACCATCATCATCATTACATTTATCCTTATGCCATCTCATTTCAGCCGCCGTCTTAGATGACATATATAGCCTACGAAGCCTTGGTTTCAACGGAAAGTATCGCAACAACTTCCATGGAATTTTTTTCCCTTTCCCGTCATCTATTTTCCACCTAGACGTTGAGCACACTGGGCAAGCTTCAAGAAATTCATTCTCCTTCCAATATAAGGCACAATCATACCGACATGCATGTATGGGAATATATCCCAAACCTAGACTGCGCAACATACTCTTTGCCTCATAAAATGATTTAGGAACTAAGTTGTCTTCAGGTAAAACATCTTGTAATAACTTCAACAGCATGTCGAACGACTTATTACTCCACTTGTTGTACACTTTTAAGTGAAGCATCTTCACTATAAATGAAAATTTGGAATACTTCGTACAATTAGGATATAACTCCTCCTGAGTCGTACCCAACATGTCTGCATACTCTTCATAACCCTTATTAGTAAAGTTACCTCCATTGGTTGCTTCACTATAGATGAAATTTTGATGTTCATCCAACAAGTCAAAAAGCTCCTCATCAAAATCTTCATAACCTTCCATCGGGTTATCAACACCAATATCACTAGTGTTATCCATATTAGAATTGGATGACTCCCCATGATATACCCAAGTTGTATATCCATGGTCAATTCCATTAATCATCAAGTGGGCAAAAACTCCTTGAATGGGTTCCTTATAAACGTTTAAACAACTTTTGCAGGGGCAATAAATATCATTGTCATGACCAATATGTTCCTCTACAAAACTTATGAAAGATCTAACACCTTCAATGTAATCTACGCTAAATTTCTTCTTTCTCATCCAAGACTTGTCCATCCTAGTATAACAATCTTGTTAGACTCCAATTATCGAATAAGTAAAGGTTAAAGTGAAAGGAAATGGGGAAAACCTCTAATTAGCAATCTGGTACCTTTGACAGCCTTGCCCCCTCTGACCAAATTGGTGACTTGAAATCCTAATCCATCAAATTGAACAACAAATCAAATATTAATACATAAACTGGAGTATACAGATATCTCATAAAAACAATCTTTGTACAAGCAAGGAAACACGGTAAACAAGATCCCATATAAACAATCATGCTATCCTCTATTTCCAAACTTGCAATTTATTATAAATTACATACCAAACAAACAATGATTAAACACAACTTAAATAGTAGTAGCCAGTACCGAATCACAATAAGAACCAAATGGGGAAATTAAATCGGTCTCTTGTCTCATTTGCTTTCTACTCTATGTTATTGATGACTCTGTTCTCGACTTTAGGCTTGGTTGTCTCATATGCTGATTTTCTCTTGTTTGTCAGATGGTTCAAATCTTGTGAACCGTCACTAACTGAACATCATAAATGACAATTTTCATAGTGAATTGGAAAAGATGAATAAAAAATTCGAAACCATGTCAATGGTACTACTGATTCTCGCCAATTCTGAAGTAAACATTTCCATCGCCCATTCTACTCTTATAGTATAACATCTGTGGTCTTGATTTTCCTTATGTGAGTAGTCCTGGGTACATCTAATCAAACTTAAATAGACCTATGCAGGGAGGGCATCTACTTATGAAATGGGCATACTGTACATACAACAAGAAATGTTTGGAAGTATATCTAGCTGTACCTACACATGTCATAGCCCAAAATTATGTGTCCAAAAATAGTAGTGCCACCAAAACATCCCAACTCCACGTGTCTCCCTTCCTCCTCCTTCCAATATACTACTTGTGCCCCCATTAATCCCTTCCTCTCACCACGTAACCCCACATATCTCTCTTCCTCCACCTTTCTGTATACTGCTTGCAGCGCCCCATTAGTCCCTTTCTCTCATACTAAGATTGGGAAAGTAGTAAAAGAGTTTCATTCTAGCCTTTCATGTTGGTTTTGCTCTACTGCATGATAAGAATGTACAGAAAGGGAGGAGACCCGCCATGCCGATGAGAAAGAGAAGACACCCATCACAACTTGGATGAAACCACGCATTGACTTGGCGGAGTAAAAAAGGGTTAGGTTTGTGTTTGGTTTACCTGTTTAATTATGGATTCAGTATGGTTAGTAGATTATGCATTGGCTTCTCTGTCACATAACTCATTTGGATTTTATGGCAACAACTATTCAATTTCACTTTAGGGTTCTAATTATAGTTGTGTTTTAGGACAGATTGAACAAAATATAGCTAGGATTTGCAGTGTTCCTATTCATCTACAGCTGCTACTGATATGTTCATGCGAAGAACAACTACTGCCCTGACACCATTTTCTAAATTGGATGGATCACTAGCCATTAGAGATAGAGAGTGATTACACGATGAAGATAGAAATCCATACCTAAACTCTTGAACTCGCGAGATGGAGCAGCTAACCGACAGAGAGAATCGAACAACAACAGGTAACGAGCAGAGGGACAGATTATAGGATTCCAGTCGATGCAAAGAAGCCGACCGCAACGCAGGGAAAATAGACGAGCAGTGGATGGAAGTCGCCGGCAAAGTAGGGGAGTTTATGCGCGGAAATGGTCGGGCACCATTATGGTAAAGGGCAAGCTTGATTTTGGGGAGAATTTTTAGGGTTCGAAGTCCAGGAAGAGAATGAAGAGAGGATGGAGAACAGAATGCATCGCACTTTCGGGGATGCCAAAGTCGGAAAGTGGGTATCAGAACGGCCCCGTATTTGGATTCCACAATAAGATAAAATATTATTTAAATAAAAATTGTGCAAAATTTATTAAAAGGAAAGAATGGACCCAACTCGAAACGCATAGAGTATCTCCAAAATATCTCCAATATCTGGTAAAAAAAAAATCCCTAACCTTTCTACAACGATAGATAATCGTCGCAATATATCTACAAACATCTGCGACGCCAATTAATCATTGCAAAATGTTTCAAAATTCTGCGACGCAAGGCAGTCGTCGCAGAATATCTCCATACATTCTGCAACGGCCAACCGTCGTCGCAAAATATCTCCGAACATTCTCCGACGAATTAATTCGTCGTGGAAAAAACAAATATCGTCGCAAAACTCTCTAAAAAACATGCCGCTGAACATTGTCATAATGTGCAACGAAAAATAGAATTCGTCGCAGATTGTGCATCTTCTGCAACGGAAAAATACAATTCGTCGGAGATTATGCACTTTCTGCGACGAAATTGTTGTCGTTGCAGTATAATTCGTCGCAGAAGGTGCAGTTTCTTGTAGTGAGATTAAATGAATCTCATGAGTTGGGTTAGAAAATTAGGGACTGGGGTTTATCCATTTGAGGTTAGGGTATAGTATCATGCCAAAAAATCCGGTTAATTCATTGTCTAAATAGCAAAACTCAACGGGCGTACGGTAGACTAAGGTACGCCCGGGCGTACGCTAGCCTGAACCATATATATATATATATATGGTGCCTTCTACGGTACCCCAGGTGATATCCGGGGTACCACATACCTTGAGTATGAAAACGCTATCTAGACCTCGAATTAGCAGGATTTTTGGGCATGATACTATACCCTAACTCTTAATGAGTGAACCCTAGGTCCTAATTATCTAAATCATAAACTATAAACCCTAAGATGGTGCATTGATTTTTTTGCCTATATTTGGACGAATCGTAACTGTCGATTATTATTTCTAATTAAATTGATCTTGGGGTATAAGATTTAGAGAATTAAGACCTAGATTTTGATCTTTAAGGGTTAGAGTATAGTATCATGTCCGAAAGATCAGTCAATTCAAGTTCTGGATAGCATTTTCTTACTCAAGGTATGCGGTACCCCGGATTTTACCCTGGGTACCGTAGAACTCCCCATATATATATATAGTTCAAGTTAGCGTGCGCTAGGAGTACGCTATACTCTTGCATTAACACTACCATACGACCATTGAGTTTTACTATTTAGAGGCCGAATTAATCGGTGTTTTTTGGGCATGATATTATCCCCTAACCTCTAATGGTTGAACTCCAGTCCCTAATTCTCTAACATCTAATTTACGCACATACTTCGCCATACCTAGCTTTTATTGTATCTTGAGTAAAATCAAAAGAGTATAGTATATATTGAAATTATATATATGTGTGAGTGTGTGTATATATAGTATATTCAAAATTATCTAGATACTTCGTCAGACCTATCTTATCTCGCCTAATACTCATATTAAAAGTGCTACTTGCCTATCCCCCACCCCGGGATAGAGATCCCGCTTTTACCCCCATAACGTCAGACAACCATTAGGGTTGTCTATGGTTCGATATGTAATATATAAAGAGGAAAATCCTAAGATCCTACTATTTATTTCTTATCCTCTCCCATAGCCCCCATTATGAAGAATAAAAGGGCGGGGATGGCAGGATCATAGTTCGATATGGTTTTATTCTGTTCATCTTATCTAAGGTTATGTTCTTTTTTTCTTTTTTTGGGCTTCTTTTCATTCTTCGTTGGCACCTATGGTTGTGATAAGAGGTATTTAGTCCCTGAAAGGAAATGGGATTTAAGGTCCTTTGAAAATCCAATACACTTTCATGATCCTCGAGTTTGGACGAACTCTCGACCAATGCTGTAAGAATTATGACTTTTTAGAAATTTGTAGTAAAGATACTTATATTTGGATCAATTTATTCACCCATATTGAAACTTGACACACACCGTAGCCCTCATGATGATTAAATACTCTAATCTCGACTCATTTCCATATTGAATGTTAGTTTTTTATTAAGACACTTAAATTTAGTATATTAAACAATATATATCAATTGTTAATTCTTGAAGTTTAGACTAAACATAAAACCGTGGTCATTGTTTATATGCTGGCTTAGAATCTCAATCTAAGACACTCACACACATATCGAGGATTTCGGTCTTAACATGGTCGTTGAATGTGTTATTTTCAAAGATTTTATCACTTATATATTAATAATTGATAAAGAGTGTCTACAATGCACACATATTTCAAGTGCATTTAAAATGTCTTATCATTTGAACAATATCGGTGGATTTCATTTGATTATTTGTGTTAACTTATTATCTTATACAACATATATCAATTCGTGTTTCTCAAGTTTGGACGAACTGTCAACCAATTTTGAGAGTTGAGATTATTAGATAAAGATACTTGATTGCTCGATAGATATGTTTATCCAAATTGACTATCTTAATAAAATGTGTCAATCTTTATTTGTTAAATGCCTAGGTTGGTAGTTGATGAAACGTGATGTTTATCATAGATTCTCAACAAAGATTTCTCCAACCTTCACATATGTTATTTTTAAAGGAATCTTGTGTCTCATCCTAGGGTTTGAAGTTAAAGTTCATCAACAATCATACTTAAGTCATTTAGAAAATTTTGATTTATAATCGTCGATGATAACTCAAATATGAAAGAAAATTTCTTAGCATACGACTTAGGACCTCAATAGAGCTTGATCAATCAACATGATATAGAGCAAATATTATTAATGTGAACTTAGGACACATTATAAAATTGTTGCACATGTGATTCCTCTTCATTTGAGGAGTTTAAGGTAAAACATCTGAATGAATAAATTTTTTTTAAATAAATAATTGTAACTACTCAGTAAAGATTATACTCTGATATTTTGCTAAATAATACTTGGTTGATTTTATTGACATATACTTTACAAATAAGAGAGTGTTTCATTGCAACAAAATATAAAGTAATCTAGTTTATTTTTCAAAGGTAATTGAATGTCAAATGTTTATTTTCTCTCTTTCCATATATATTTTGTTTAATCGATCAAAACATTATTGTTTGTGTGTGTATTTGTTTAATTTTTTCATCAAAATGTGACTTATCATTCAATTTTAAAAAATTTACTTCATAAGGTTTAATCAGGTATTTTTTATTTAAACAAATTTGATATATGTCACTCTCTGCTTCTTATTTATATTTTTTTTACTTGACAAAAAAAAATATTATTTATGTGTGTTTGGTAAAGTTTATCAACATGTAACTTATTATTAAAGCAAAAAAAGAATACATGGGTAAATGAAAAGGAATAATTTGATAAAAGAAATGGAAATATTAAAAAAAAGAGATGTAGCTCCATAAATGCGTTAATAACTACTTTTTTGTTTGTAAGAAAGTTGTCCAACTTGGCAAATTGTGGATCCTCCAAGTGCTTATGTGGCAAGAGATTGATTTTGAATTGCCATAATATATAGTATAGATAGATATAGATTTACAAGCGAAAGTTGCTAAGATTAGATAGAGTCTCATGTGATAGTACTAAAACCTATCACGATTGAAGGACATGCATATTGCTTATATTTGTTAAAAAGTGTTAGCATTAAAACTTGTGAGGTTTCACTTAAATTGGTGTTGCATAATAGGTATACATATGCAAACACATTTTCTTTTCTTGCAAAATGTAGAAAATATGTTGCATATCACTTTATACAACATCACCTAAAGATGAAACTTCTAAAAGTCTTGCATATCATACAACAATGGAGTCCTAAATCTGAATGAGGGGCTAAAACCTTATTGTGTACTAAATGTTTCAGCCAAGAAACAAGAAAGTTTCGGATATGTGAACGGGCGGGGATGGCCCTGAATCTCTACACTCCGACGATCAACATTAGAATTACGAGGAGAACCAAGATAGAGAGAGGTAGTTTAGAGAGAGAAGTGATATGTAAAAAATGAGGAGAGTAGATGAAACCATCCCTTACTTGGAAGACGTAAGATCATACTTATAGGTAAAGCTTTGTGACACTTTGTTGGGCTTTATTTGGGCCTTAGTGGTGTTTCTTGGGCTTTGATCCATATGTGCTCGACGGATCGTATTTACTGTTTGAGTTGGGTTATGCCATATTTACACCCCCCAACAATTGTCCCCCAGTTAGGTTTTCAGTGGTACACTGGATGCCTAACTAGAAGTCTTCATGTTGTCAAACTTTTGCTGTCTTTGCATCTGGCTTATGATGTGCATGCGCCTCTTTATACTCTGTTGGTTGACTCACGACCCTCAACATCATGTTAACTGAACAACTTACAACAAAGACTATGCAAAGACTGAGCAATATAACACAATATGCTCATAGCATGGTTAGAGATATAACTCAAGTGTGATAAAAATTACTTATTACACTCCTCATGTCTAACAAGATTTGTTTGCCATAGAACAAACCCTGAATGTACCTGCACATGTTATCACCAATTGTCCCCCAGTTAGGCGCCTAGTGGTCCACTGGACGGTTAACTAGAGTCCCTCTATTTGTCAAGTTTCACGCAATACCCTATTGTGTTCTGTCCCCCAGTTCATGTCCCCCATTACCATATTAATTACACAAAGAAAGGATCACAAATATATTAAGCAATACAACAAAATTTGATTCATACAATAACTACGAATATAACTCGAGTAATGATAAAAAAAACTTAGCTCATTTCATTGGAGGCTAGAACGGAAGCGCCTAAAAATAGGGACTTGGTGTCCGAATTGGACAACCACGTTGGAACCTAAGTGAGCTACCTCATGTATCACATATCACTTTTTTATTTTATAATAAGTGCTTTAATTAACATGGTTCCAAAACACCCTATTACTTTTTCGTGGCAGGAGCTTTAATAGCCACATGGTCATAATAACGGAAAGGGTAACAAATATACTATGCAGATTAGAATT